CGAGGCGGACAACCAGGAGAACATCCTCTCCCAGGTACCTGCGGGACACACCTGCGGGGCTGGGGTTGGGGGGGTGCCGGGGAGCGCTGTGCACCCCCCGGGGGTGCGGGTGTTGGGCGCTGCGGGGCGATGCTGTGCGCTCAGCCAGCGCTCAGCAGCAGCGTCGGGTGAGTGCAGATGCGGGGGAGTTCTGTCGCCCAGGGTACAGTGAACCCCCGAAGCCCAACGGGGAGCAGTTCCCAGCCTCCGTCCCATCGTTTTCCTGGGGGAAATCAGAAAACAGGGAGCTCCTCGGGAGGGGAATTGGCGGAGCCTCTTTGTGTGTGGAGGGGAGGGATCCAGGATCCAGACTCCTTCCCTGCCAGTGGATGCGGTGGAGGCTTCTGTTAGATTTGGCCGATCTGTGTGCTATTATCTGCCCTCGGAAACGGCTAACGGGGAGGCTATTGGAAACATACCGTCAAAGTTATTTTTGTGCTTGGGCTTGCAGAAGTGCTGTCTGCAAACCTCTGTAAAGGAAATTCCTGGAATTGTATGGGGCTAATCAGAAATACTGCTCCACCACCAGGTTATGCTGCTTATAGGGTGGCTTTCAGCCACCCTCCCAGCCCACCCTGTACCCTGTTTGCCTGCTTAAAGAAATCTTGCTCAGGGTAGCAGGTGACTTAGAAGGTCTGCTGGACACAGAACGTTAAAAGACAGGAGGATGTGGTTTATGTTTAAAGCTCAAAGTGGCCAAGTCCATTTTATGCAAAGTGGAATTAAAAATTACCCTGTTGGAAGAAGCTGGTTTTTACTCCCCTTGCAGGTAGGGACCAGACAGCTCTGTGCTCTCTAGAAATCTTCTTGGTCAGCAGATTTTGGAAGAGCCGTCCAGTTTCCTCAAGGTGCAAGGGTGTCCAGAGTGTCCTTGTTGACACCTTGAGGAGCAGGGTGTCCTTGTCCCTTGCTGGGGAGGCAGAGGACAAGGTGCTGACAGCTGGTCCCTGTGCTCAGCTGTTAGGTGACTACGACAAGGTGAAGGCGGTGTCCGAAGGCTCCGACTGCCGGTGCAAATGCCTGGTCAGACCCCTGGGCCGTGGTGCCTGCCAAAGGATTAATGAAGGTGCTTTCAAAGCAGAGGACTTTTACACGGTGGAAACCATCACATCAGGACCCAGCTGCAAGTGTGCCTGCGTGGCCCCCCCGTCGGCACTCAACCCCTGCGAGGGGGACTTCAGGCTGAAGAAGCTGCGAGAGGCGGAGAGCAGTGACCTGAAGGTAGGAGAGGGGCTTGGATCCAGGGCTCTCTGGGCAGAAAGATATCTTCTGAAGCCTTTTCTTTCTGAGCTTTTTCTAAAAAAACTTTTTTTTTTTTTTCTCCTGAACTTTGTGTCCTAAAATATCTCCTAGTTACTTTCATAAAAGTCAAGCTCAGCTCAAGGGATGGTTTCGAGCAGCTGCAGTGGATGATTCACTCAACTCATCCTGTGCTGCCTGGGATCCATTGTGGCTTCCTGCACTGGAAACCCAGGAGGGACTGGACTGCTCCTTGCCTTTTGTCCAGCACTAAATATCCCCAGGGGGATGTCTCTACTCCACTCAGCAGCTGTCAGGTCTCACTCCTATTGCAGAGAGGGGCTCCCAAGGATCCATGCAAAAAACTGGTTTGACGTCCATGGGCCAAAAGCCACTGATGCGTCAGTGTGAGGGTGTGTTACACAGCTGGATGGTGGCAAGTTGGGTTTTGTTGTTTTAAATGCTGACACTTCTGTACTATTTAGTATTTTATCTCTTTAATAAGATGTAGTATCTCTTTTCCAAATGTGACAGTGTTTGTTCTGAGTAGTCATGCCTTTTCCTGGATGCTTACTGTTGCTGGCTTAGCAGCCGGCATCAGACTTTACCGAGTTTTCCAGTCAGTTACCTGGGTAGGGCAGCAGAAATTCTCCCCAAAGGGCCACTGGTTTGGTTCAGTCCTGGGGAGTCCCCAGCACAGAAGGCTGAGTGGTGGTGGCACTCACCTGGGTGGTGACGGGACACACCCCAGGGCAGTGCTGCTAGTCCCAGCTCAGGTGGGGAGGCAGGCACTGTGCAGGGTGCTGTGGGGCAGCCACCACGATGGCTTGTTCTAATTAATTTGGAGCTTGAGGATGTGTTTTATCTTGTCTGACTGCAGACAGTTAGCAGCTTCTTGTCCAGGCTCCCCTGCGGCTAGGGAAGATAAACAGGCACAGGCAGAAAATCCATCATCTCAGGGAAGGAGAAGTCCCAGTCTGGAGTTGTTCAGTGCTCCCTTTCACAAGTCAGGGCATCCCAGGTGGCCTTAGGTGAGAAGCTGTGAGCAGTCTACAGTTAGGAGAGGGGACACTCTCCCAGGTAACTGAGCCACCCTTGTTGTCCCTTGCCTAGAGGCAGGCAGAGCTCCTCCACCAGCAGCTGCCACCTCTCTCCCTGTCCTTTCCAGAGCCAGGCAGCCTCCTGGAGGAGCAGAGCAGTGTGGTGAGCTTCGCCCTTGGCTCTGGCTGCCTCTTCCCACCAGGGAGCTGCTCACAGCCAGCTGTGGTGTGAAAGCTTGTCCTCTAGGAACTGGCCCAGGCTCCCCCGCTCATTTTGCAAGGATCCACAGCCAGGAGATTTCACAAGGTTTATCCAAATATACACACGGGTTTTTTCTTTGCTGTGAAAGTCAAAGCCCGGGAGCTGTGACAGCAGGCTCTTCTCGCCCAGCACTGAGTTCCTCCTGGAGTTGGGCTCACTGGGAACAGCCGCCTCTCATAGGACGGGGCAGGAGAGGACACAGCTCCAGTTCTTACGTGACTCATGAGGAGCAGCTCCCATGCTCCTAGCAGGGGCTGGGAGGGCCAGGTCAGGCAACCTCATTGTTTCTAACAGCCCCAGGGGTTTTACTCTCCTTGCTCCTCTGATGAGCATCATTCTTGCTTGGTCCAGCAGCAGGAAGCATGTATGTTCATGCTCGATGTCTGTTGTGTTTGAACAGGCTCTGACTCAAAATCTCCAGGTAATCCACATGTGGGAGATCTGGGGAAGTTCCCCAAAACAAGAGCCCTCCCTTGCAATGAGTGGGCTGCAGGATGTGTCCTCATGGGAATGGCAAGGAAAGGAGTAGATAAGCCCAGGCAGTAGGAAGGTACCCCTGGAATGCCCCAACTCAGTTGAATGCCTATACTGAGCATCCTAGTAATTCAGTCCTCGCTGAGCCTTTAATAAGGTCCCATGGGAATGCACTGCCCATCAGATCAGTGAAAGACAAATTCCACAGTGGGTGAAGGGAAAGGAACAACGAGCTGGCGTGTGCATTGGTGCAGCCTTCAGAAGGGTCAGCTTGGTGTCTGCAACGGGATAGCTGAACCTGAGATCTGTTTTTGTGAAATCACAGCATGCTGTAGGCACAGTGTGTGTTTTGAGGGTCTCAGGTGCAGGGTCTGGGCAAGGAGTCTGTGTTCAGGAAGATTTGGAAGGTGATTCATAAAGTCTGCAACCTTTGTGTGCTGATGGAAAGGATCCAGGCTGGAGGGAAGCGCGTGCCTGCAGCGGGTGTCTGGCAGCTGGTGTGTGCTTTCTGCTGGTTGTCTCTGTCCAGTTCTCGGTGGAAAGTGGATGCATAGCCATAAAACACTACTTGTCTCTTAATGTTGCCATTTTATCTGGCCCCAGAAAAATCTTTCCTTTGCTGTCAGCTCCGGAGGGAGATTGCAGAGGCTGGGATGGAAACTCAGAGTGCTGCCAGCAGTGTTGCCTGCGCTTCTCCCATGTTTATGGAGTTCTGTTGTTCACTTTGTAGCTGCCGGGAGAAAATGTCACTGCCTTGTAGTAATTACCATGTAGTGAAAATACTTGCTCAGCTGTAGGGCTGTAAGGTCTGCAGTGCTACACTGTCCATGTGGGGCTGGAGGGAGCAGAGGCAGGGAGTGACTGAGGGGCTCTCCCCACCAGCCCCTGCCTCACTTGGCACTGTCCTCTGCAGAGCGAGCAGCAGAGCTGTAGGAAATACAGGATGAGGGTATTATTGCTGTCTGGACCCCCAGGATGGGTGAACAGGGGCTGGTGCTGGGCAGGACATGGGGACACTGCCTCTCCTGCTGTGGGAAGGGGATGAGTGTTCCTCTGAAATGGGTGGCTGAAGGCAGAGACAGCAGCCCTCTGACACAATTTTTCTTCTGAGACTCAAACTGTTACCAGGCTGGCACTGATTGTCAGTTGCTTCACTTTTGTGCTTGTGAACATTTTTGAACTTTTTAACAAGTTTTGTCTTGTTCCAGGAAGAAATAAAAAGCAAACATGGGATGGCATGAGCTCAGAGTCTGATCTCAAACTCACTTTTATGTGAGCTGCTGTTCGCTTGTTGCCTCTTTTGTTGCCAGCCACGTCACTGGTGGGGTAGGTGAGCCCTTGGGAGTGTGAGGGAGCTTGCCCAGAGCTGGCAAGGAGAGCAGTGCTTCTCCTTTCTCTGCTTACTAATCCCCAGCACCCAAAACATGCTCCTGAACCCCTGAAGCTCTGCAGGCTGTGCTTCTGACTGCAGCAGCAGTGCAGCAGGGCTGGATAAGGAAATCCAGTGTTTTCATAAACTTCTTCTGCTCTGATGTGTGTGTTTTTGGCCGTAGAAACTGTGCAACCATGTACTTCATAGTAAGTGCCTCTGACTGACCATGTTCTCCCTTGGCCTTGCAGCTGTCCTCCATCATGGAGATGCTGGAAAGTGCCTTTTATGGCTTGGACCTTTTGAAGCTGCACTCTGTCACAACCAAGCTGGTGGGTCGGGTGGAAAAGCTCGAGGAGGTAAGATGAGTCCTGCTCTCTTTTGAGGTGGTTGCCTTCGGTGGCACTTGCCTCAAATGAAGTATTTGGTACCTTTGGTGTGTTCAGAGCCTTGTTCCTTTTGGAAGATGTGGTAATTAACTGACTGAAGTTAAACTAAGCCAGACTAGACTCTCCAAACTAGATCTCTGCTGTTCCTTGCAGGCGGTGCCCAAGGCATCACCACCCCATCAGCCTCCTCTGGTACTCTCAAGTTTCCTTCAACCCTTGTGGCTCAAACTGGGTGCAGGATCCCAGCTGTGGCTTCACCAGGACCAGTATCCCCTTGGGGTCCAAAGAGGCTGCTGTTAAGTTTTTCCTCTTCTTAATTTTATGTCTGTGCTGGTGCAATATTTGCTCTAAACCAGGTGCTTTTGTCCTGTTTGATGTGGAGGTGCGTGGCTCAGGGCCAGGGCCAGAACATGCTCAACAGGACAGCTGGAAACCAAGGGCAAATTCCTTAAGGACCAAGCTGCATCCTGACCTGTTTTTCAGTAGAGCTGATCCCTCAGCACTGCTAAAAACACAGATAAAATACCTTCCATTTTTTTTAAAAGCAAACTTACAGTGAAATAATTTTCACTTCCATACAGTTTAATATTTCTTTGGCTAGCACAACAGTTTGTTAAGCTGCCCTCAGCTATGTAGCAACAGGTTGCCAGATTAAATAGTGGAGTTTTCTCCCATGGTCCATATCTGGGACAGTAATTCCACATTCTTGTCAGAGCAGAGCAGTCCCGTTAGTCTGCAGCCAGGAGCCAAGAGGCCATAATTTATAAAGCCAAAATTCCACTAGCAAATTGTTTTGGGAAGGCTCCTTGTGCTCCATCCTGGGGTCAGGAAGGAGACAGCTGAGAGGAGCGTGCTTGCCCAAGGGGCTCTGGGCTTCCAAGCACAGTGATTGACCCAAAAAAAGGGGGAAAGGGGTTTTAAGGTCTAAAAATAACCAAGCACCAGTGTTTTTGTTTGTAATCCCAACCTCTGCCTGTGGTTTAGCGTGTTCTCCAGTCGTTAGTTGGGTTTGCTGCTGAGCCTTTGCTAATTAGGAGAGAGGAGCGAGGGAGGTGGGATCTGTGCCACCAACCGGGGGGCTGTGCGTCCCCTCTGGGGACCTTCCCCACTGCGGGTCTGGTGGGGTGAGCCCTGCCCCACAGCATGGCTAGCTGGGCTCACCCAGGGCAGAGGGTGCTGCAGTGGACACAATATGCTCCACCAGGACCAAGCAATGGCCTATTGGTAACTAACATCCACAGCTGCTGGACTGGGGATGATGAAGGGGACAACCTTTTTTTTTGTGTGTCCTTCATAGATATCATCCCTTAGTTTGTGTCACCCTGAAACTAGCTGACTGAAAATGGTGCTGTTAGGCAAAGAGGAGTCTCAGGGGGACCTTATCACTCTCTTCAACTACCTGAAGGGAGGTTGTAGGCAGGTGGGGGCTGGGCTCTTTTTCCAGTCAATAAGCAACAAGACAAGAGGGAATGGCCTCAAGATGCTCCAGGGAAGATTTAGGTTGGATATTAGGAAGTACTTCCTATTGGAAAGGATGATTAGACATTGGAATGGACTTCCCAGGGACATGGTGGAGGCACCATCCCTGGATGTGTTCAAGGAAAGGCTGGATGTGGCACTTAGTGCCATGGTCTAGCTGATGTGGTGGTGTTGGTCACAGGCTGGACTTGATGATCTTAAAGGTCTTTTCCAGCCTTGGTGATTCAGTCACTCTGTGTGATTGTCACCTCTAAATAAGTCAGACCAGAGTCACACAGGCCAGTGAGTGGGGAGTGTAAGATCCTCAAAAACCTTGCTGATGGTCCAGTCAGAGGCTGAGGTAAGTGTTAGGAGTTTGAGTATTGACAAGTGACACAAGTGATTACTTCATGTGTGGGTACCATTGGTGCTCTTCTTCATTACCAGCTGGTTCCTGCAGAGGGGCTCAGTGTAAGTTGTGCTGGTGGCACTTCTCTGGGCACATCAGGGTGACCTTGCAGCATGGTTGCTCTGCTCACAGGGAGAGAGATGGGCAGGAAGCTCAGCCTGAAGTAGTTTGGCCAGAGATGGAGCAGTGAAGGTGCAGAAAGGGAGAATTCACAACTTGGGGTCTTTAATTTCCCAGAAGTGAGGCTGCAGGATCATGTAACGAGCAGCTGAAGCTGCCTGCAGGCACTTGGACAGGATGGAGCAGGACAGGAGGGGTCTGGATTAGATGGAGATTCCTGTGCCACCGGGGCAGGGCAGAGCTGGTGCAGGCAGCAGGTGTGAAACGCTTCCTGCTGCCGGCTTAGCACAAATTCCTGTTGAGAGGCAGAGGATCACACCCTGCATTGGCCACGGGGCCTGAAACAAGGGACAGCTGAGATGCTGAACAAGAGCCTGGCATGGCTTCAAAGCATCAGCCTCCCAGGCGGGTGTGCTTTTGGCAGCTGCTCCCTGCCAGAGCAGCTGAGCAGCCTCAAGCAGCATCTCAGGCCAGGCTTTGGTGGTGCCTCCCCACTCAGGGGGAGGCAGATTTTATCCCTGAGCAGATCATAAGCCAAATCGTACACAGAAAAAGTGATAAGGGCACAAGGCTGTCAGAAGCAGCCATCCTCCCAAAAGGAGGAGGGTGTCAAAGCTGCTTCTGCTGCTGTGCTGTTCCTAGGATGAGATTCCCTGTTTCTTTTCCAACTACACCAAAATACTTGCTGAAAAGTCCCTGCATTATTGGACTCAGCCTTATAATTGCATGATAAAGCTGTGACTCACAATTCTTGGATAAAGCTGGGAGTTCAGATGTCCATGGAGTGGGGTGGGTGTTAACTGAGCTTAGGATGGTATTTTTGTAGAGACGAGAAGGTGTTGCAAGATGTTTCCAGTATAACAAGGTATTTTACACAAATGGTGTCAGTCAAGGGAACTAATGTCCCAATAGGTGGTCTGCACAGCTAGAGCCTTCTCTAGTGATGTAGCTCCTCTGCTTTGTCTCTAGCTTGCAGCTGTTGCATCAGCTGGCAATTTTGAGGTCACAGTTGGAGGTCACAGTGGATTTTAGGAGAAATTAATGACAGGACAGATTGGAAATGAAGGATCAGGAAGAACCACTCCCAGTCTTTGCAAAAATGCTGTGACTGATGTGCCACCTATTCAAAGCAATTGTCATTTAAGATGTAAAAGGCCAGGGAGCAATGGGCAGAGACTGAACAATCCCTTGGTGACAGGGTGTGCCTATGGCTGGGGGACTGAGAAGGGTGAAGGGGTCTGTGTGCCCTGGGCTGCCTGATGAGCTGCAGCCAGACGCAGCTCCCTCCCCATGCCGGGACAGCTCTCTGAAGGCCACTGACTCTCTTCCTCTCCCTTGATCCCCCCTCTTTTCTGTGGGAGCAGAGGGTGGTGGGGAGAAGCAGTCCCTGAGTGCAGGCACTGTGTGACCAGGCAGCAGGGCAGGACCAACAGAATAGAAAGCAAAGTGGGGTGGAACATCAGAGGTCAGGCAGGTAGTGGCCAGCCAGGATGGGACCCTGTGACTGAAGTGGGATTAATGAACGAGCGAAGAACTTGCTGCCAAAAGACACAGGGCTAGGACTTCAGATGTTTTGGCTTGTCTTGTTCTCTTCCTTCTATGAGCCAGTGAGCATGGCTGAAGGTGGGCGTTGAAGGTTGCCTCAAGGCAACTCTCCCACTCAAAGGGGCCCTGTGGCAAAGAGTGGATCTGAGATGTGCATGCCAGGGATGGGGTTTCTGGATCCCACTGGGCTCAGAGGTACCCTCTTAGTAGCTGAAGTGCCCAGCTTCATGGAAAAGCCCAGTTGTGAGCCCAGGACAGGAGCACAGAGCCCACGTCTGTGGCTGGGACTGCACAGCATCCCTTGTCTTCACACGGGGTAAAGACTCTCTTCCTTTTCCTAGGGCATGTCCGGGAACTTCACTCAAGAAGGCCACAGGGAGCAGGGTCTGCAGGACACCCAGCACAGGGACAGGGAGAACTGCTCCAGCCTCGTCACCAACAGCCTGGCTGACCTGGAGAGCTCTCTGCAGCGGGACGCAGAGGCTGCCTACACCCAGGCAGAGGTAGGGCTGCCCTGCAGGCCCCCGGCCAGGGGGTAACTTCTTCTCAAGTCAGCCGACCCTGTTTCCGCGCCTCTGGATCCTACTTTCCTTGCACAGCCCAGCTGCTGGCGGGACGTAGGAGGGAACGGGAGCAGGCTGCTCCTCAGGCCTCCCCCCTTCCAGCAGGGTGGTTGGTTTTCGAGGTCAGCGCTGCTCGGAAGGAGTGATGTCATTGTGGGGCCGGCTGGGAAGCGCTAGGAGACTCGGAGCCTTTGATTAGCAGGGCCGGGGGGCTCGGTGGAGGGACAGCCTGTCGCCCTTCCTCCTGGGCAATTACTCCTCCTCAGCCAGCCCCTGCTCCTGCTTGGCTGGACATTCCGCTGGCTCCAGCTCCAGCCCATGGGGGTGTCTGCGGGGCCTGCCCAGCACAGGGCAGTGCTTGCTGTGCTGCCCCAGAGAGAGCCAAGAGGGGTGTTTTGGGAAAAGGCCCTCCCGGGGTGTCCTGAACCCCTTGGTGCAATCTAGGGTGGCCTCGTGGTGCTCTGACCCACACTGGGTGGCTCCTAGAGCACCCTGCCTCCTCCCCAAGGCTCTCTGCAGGGTAAAAGGAGGTGTCTGGGGAGGGGGGAGCAGCTGCTGCATCATTCCCAGCTCCAAACAGGGGTGCTGAGCTTCTGGGGTGAGGATAGGCCAGACGTGCACACCCCTGACACCAAAAGCGGGCGTTGTGTGTTCCAGAGCAGAAGTGGTCTCCTCCAGCCCTGGTGAGGAGAAGGGTGGGCTCCCAGGCACACGCTGGGCGTCAGCAGGTGGGAAAATAACAGTGGCTGTGATGTGCCAGTGTGGTGTGCTCGGGAGGGCTGTGCCCCATGGTGGGGGGTGTCCAGCAGCACCCCCAGTCCCCCTCCCCCTGCACCCCGGCCTGGAACCTGGGTGTGGGCTTTGCTGCCTGCTGGAGAGGAGCCAGCCCAGGCCAGGTGGGGGAGCAAAGAGCAGGGCTTTTATTACCCTGAGTGACCTCATTTCCCAGTGTTCCACTTTTCTCCCTGTTAATTGCAGCAGGGCTGTGGAGGACCCCTGGGCCCCTGCTCTCAGCCAAGTGGGCACCGCTTCAACCTTTGGGCTGCCTTTCCCATTTCCCTTAATGAGATGAAAATCCCTTGGTGACAGGGTGTGCCTATGGCTGGGGGACTGACAAGGGTGAAGGGGTCTGTGTGCCCTGGGCTGCCTGATGAGCTGCAGCCAGACGCAGCTCCCTCCCCATGCCGGGACAGCTCTCTGAAGGCCACTGACTCTCTTCCTCTCCCTTGATCCCCCCTCTTTTCTGTGGGAGCAGAGGGTGGTGGGGAGAAGCAGTCCCTGAGTGCAGGCACTGTGTGACCAGGCAGCAGGGCAGGACCAACAGAATAGAAAGCAAAGTGGGGTGGAACATCAGAGGTCAGGCAGGTAGTGGCCAGCCAGGATGGGACCCTGTGACTGAAGTGGGATTAATGAACGAGCGAAGAACTTGCTGCCAAAAGACACAGGGCTAGGACTTCAGATGTTTTGGCTTGTCTTGTTCTCTTCCTTCTATGAGCCAGTGAGCATGGCTGAAGGTGGGCGTTGAAGGTTGCCTCAAGGCAACTCTCCCACTCAAAGGGGCCCTGTGGCAAAGAGTGGATCTGAGATGTGCATGCCAGGGATGGGGTTTCTGGATCCCACTGGGCTCAGAGGTACCCTCTTAGTAGCTGAAGTGCCCAGCTTCATGGAAAAGCCCAGTTGTGAGCCCAGGACAGGAGCACAGAGCCCACGTCTGTGGCTGGGACTGCACAGCATCCCTTGTCTTCACACGGGGTAAAGACTCTCTTCCTTTTCCTAGGGCATGTCCGGGAACTTCACTCAAGAAGGCCACAGGGAGCAGGGTCTGCAGGACACCCAGCACAGGGACAGGGAGAACTGCTCCAGCCTCGTCACCAACAGCCTGGCTGACCTGGAGAGCTCTCTCCAGCGGGACGCAGAGGCTGCCTACACCCAGGCAGAGGTAGGGCTGCCCTGCAGGCCCCCGGCCAGGGGGTAACTTCTTCTCAAGTCAGCCGACCCTGTTTCCGCGCCTCTGGATCCTACTTTCCTTGCACAGCCCAGCTGCTGGCGGGACGTAGGAGGGAACGGGAGCAGGCTGCTCCTCAGGCCTCCCCCCTTCCAGCAGGGTGGTTGGTTTTCGAGGTCAGCGCTGCTCGGAAGGAGGGATGTCATTGTGGGGCCGGATGGGACGGCCTGGGAGCCTCGGAGCCTTTGATTAGCAGGGCCGGGGGGCTCGGTGGAGGGACAGCCTGTCGCCCTTCCTCCTGGGCAATTACTCCTCCTCAGCCAGCCCCTGCTCCTGCTTGGCTGGACATTCCGCTGGCTCCAGCTCCAGCCCATGGGGGTGTCTGCGGGGCCTGCCCAGCACAGGGCAGTGCTTGCTGTGCTGCCCCAGAGAGAGCCAAGAGGGGTGTTTTGGGAAAAGGCCCTCCCGGGGTGTCCTGAACCCCTTGGTGCAATCTAGGGTGGCCTCGTGGTGCTCTGACCCACACTGGGTGGCTCCTAGAGCACCCTGCCTCCTCCCCAAGGCTCTCTGCAGGGTAAAAGGAGGTGTCTGGGGAGGGGGGAGCAGCTGCTGCATCATTCCCAGCTCCAAACAGGGGTGCTGAGCTTCTGGGGTGAGGATAGGCCAGACGTGCACACCCCTGACACCAAAAGCGGGCGTTGTGTGTTCCAGAGCAGAAGTGGTCTCCTCCAGCCCTGGTGAGGAGAAGGGTGGGCTCCCAGGCACACGCTGGGCGTCAGCAGGTGGGAAAATAACAGTGGCTGTGATGTGCCAGTGTGGTGTGCTCGGGAGGGCTGTGCCCCATGGTGGGGGGTGTCCAGCAGCACCCCCAGTCCCCCTCCCCCTGCACCCCGGCCTGGAACCTGGGTGTGGGCTTTGCTGCCTGCTGGAGAGGAGCCAGCCCAGGCCAGGTGGGGGAGCAAAGAGCAGGGCTTTTATTACCCTGAGTGACCTCATTTCCCAGTGTTCCACTTTTCTCCCTGTTAATTGCAGCAGGGCTGTGGAGGACCCCTGGGCCCCTGCTCTCAGCCAAGTGGGCACCGCTTCAACCTTTGGGCTGCCTTTCCCATTTCCCTTAATGAGATGAAACCCTTCAGGCATGAGCTGCAGCAGCTGGTGGCTGCCTCTGCTCAGGTTTCCCAGTCGGTCCCTGCCCCAGGAGGGACCTGGTCCCTGTCCTAGGGGGGTCTCTGCCCCACTGGGAAGGTGCCTTCAGCTTCTCTGCTCTCCAAGGCTCAGTGCATGGTCTCTATGTGCCAGACCCTGGCATGCGAGGAGGTGTCTGGTGGGTGGACATGTGAGTAGTTGCAGTGAGTCCTCTGCAGTCGCAGGGTGCCCTGCTAATGCCACCCCGGGGTCTCCCCACTCTCCTCACAGGTCCTGTGTCCCACAGCCTGTCCCTTACTGAGCACCAAGCCCCAGGTTTGCAGGGTGGCATCAAGGTCACCCAGAGATAGTGTTGTCCCCACTCACTGTCTCCTGGAGCATTTCCCAGGGCAGAAAGAACGGAGGGTGATCCTGAGATAGGAGGAAGGGCAAAATGTCCCTCCTCGCCCTTGGCTGGCCAGCCTGACCTGTCCCACCCCCAAAACGCAGCCCCAAAACGTCAGGCCCGTCCCGTAACAACCTCCTGCGTCTCTTCCAGGGCAAATATGAGGAAAGATTCCTGAAAGATGAAACCATCTCCCACCAGATAAACTCTGTCGAGACCCTCGTCTCTCCGGAGGATGAGAAGCCCAAGCAGATCCTGCAGAGGAAGCTGCACGTGAGGGGCCGGCCTCCTTCCAAGCCCACCATCGTTCGAGGGGTCACCTACTACAAAGCCCAGTCCAGCGAGTCGGAGAACGACATCGAGGAGCCGCGTGAGTTGGGTCTGCACCCCTGCCTGCTCCCGAGTTCTGCCTCCTTCCCTGGGAAGGGGTGGGCAAAGCACGTGGGGTCACCACGGGGAGGGGGGCTGGGAAGCGGGAGATGTGGGACGGTTGGTACCTCAGCACGGTGCTGCCTTTGAGCCCTGCTATTCCAAGGAAAGTCTCTGGTGACTGAGGAAGGAGGTGGCTGCCTCGGGGTAAAACACCCAGCATCAGCACCTCTCTGAAAGTAAACGCAGGTGCATCACGTAGGCTGCTCCTGCAGATTCACCTGCTCCCTGCAGTTCACAGGCGGGGAATGAAGAGGGAAACTGGGTGGATTCAGCACAAGGGAGCCTGGAGAAGCGGGCAGAGGGGCCAGAGCAGTGGGCTGAGCACGGGGGCTGCAGGGACCTGCTCCCACTGGCCCGGAGGCTGACACTGGTGCCTGTGTTCGGCAGCGGACGAGCTGTTCAGCGGGGACAACACGGTGGACCTGCTGATCGAGGACCAGCTCCTGAGGCCCAGGGGCCGGGGGAGCGAGGCCATGAGGAAGCCCTCCCCGGTGGGATGGCCGCCCACCCCCGGCAGCGGCCCCACCACCCCCCCGGCTGCGGATGCTGCGGTGACAGCCACGGTGCCCCTGTCCCCTGCCGCCTCCACGGGGCCCACGCCGGACCCCAGTGCTGTGAGCTGGCTGACCCCCACCCCAGAGACCACGGTTGCCCTGGTGGGGCTGATGGAGGAGGGGACCCCGCAGCTACCAGCAGCCTTGGCCAGCACAGTGGTGGCCACGGCCTCCGAGAGCCTGTCCTCAGCCTCCGCTGCTGTCCCCAGCCCTGATGAGGCTGCCACCTTAAGGGACGTGGGGACAAGCTCTGCCCCACAGAGCAGCTCAGGAGCTTGGGGTCAGGCGAGCACCCCTGCGACGCCTGTCAGCCCTACCATCCCTGCCACCCCAAAGCAGGCCCTGGAGGAGGAGGACATCAGGAACATCATCGGTGAGTGCCTGCAGGTCCTGCACCGATCCAGCTGTGCACAGGGGGCTGGCTGCTGCCCACAGCATGTCCTGCTGAGTGGTCATGGGTGGGAGGTGTCATGGAGATGGTGGCTGGATGGCACTTTACTGGGGCACCAGGTTTACCTGCTTGTTAAGGCTGGAACCTACTGTAGTCTCCTCCCAGTTTGAGAGGCTGTGCAGGGCAGAAAGAAGCCTCCCTGGAGATGGCCCCAGGACAGGCAGCAGCCTCAGCTGTGGCAGGGACACTGAGGCTGTGGGGAGCTGTTTGCAGGATCTGTCTGGTGCTGCTGAGCCTTATTGTGCTGAGCAGAGGCAGCAGGAGGTACCTGCTGGGTGGGCAAGGGGCTGGAACCACCCTGCCTTGGGCCTCACGAGCCCTTCTCTGCCCACACAGGGCGCTGCAAGGACACACTCTCCACCATCTCGGGGCCCACCACCCAGAACACCTATGGGCGCAACGAGGGGGCCTGGATGAAGGACCCTCTGGCTCGGGAGGAGCGGATCTACGTCACCAACTACTACTACGGGAACACACTGGTGGAGTTCAGGAACCTTGACAACTTCAAGCAAGGTGGGCTTGCAGCATACCTGGTGTTACACTGGCTGCTGCCTGGCTGGTCCAAGTAGTGTCCCTGTTCTTTGGGTTGCTCTGCCCAGGGACCCTCCTCTCTTGGGCACTGGTACCCAGCACGTGGGGTCCAGAGCATGGGGCAGATCAGAGTGCCTGTGGTGGCTCTGGACTTGCTTGTCCCCATGCCAGTCTGCAGCTTGTGACTGGGAGGGAGCACAGGCAGGGCTGGGGCAGAGGGTGCCTGGGGGCTGCTGCAGCTGGGCAACCAATCCCAAAGTAAAAGGCAGGGTCTCACCAGCAAGTTGTCTCTGCCTCCCAGGGCGCTGGAGCAACTCCTACAAGCTGCCATACAGCTGGATCGGGACAGGGCACGTGGTCTACAATGGCTCTTTCTACTACAACCGGGCCTTCACACGCAACATCATCAAGTACGACCTGAAGCAGCGCTTCGTGGCCGCCTGGGCCATGCTGCACGACGTGGCCTACGAGGAGTCCACCCCCTGGAGGTGGCGGGGCCACTCGGACGTGGACTTTGCTGTGGATGAGAACGGCCTGTGGATCATCTACCCAGCCATCAGCTATGAGGGCTCCAACCAGGAGGTGATTGTGCTGAGCAAGCTGAACGCGGCCGACCTCAGCACCCAGAAGGAGACCACCTGGCGGACGGGGCTGAGGAAGAACTTCTATGGGAACTGCTTTGTCATCTGCGGGGTCCTGTATGCGGTCGACAGCTACAACAAGAGGAATGCCAACATCTCCTACGCCTTTGACACCCACACCAACACACAGATCATCCCCCGGCTGCTCTTTGAGAACGAGTACTCCTACACCACCCAGATAGACTATAACCCCAAGGACCGCCTGCTCTATGCCTGGGACAATGGGCACCAGGTCACCTACCATGTCATCTTTGCCTACTGAGACCCCCCCTGCCACAGTGGGGCACTGCAAGCCAGGGGCCACCAGCACCTTTTATTATTATTTTTATTGTTATTTTGTACAAATCAAAGAGTAAATGATGAGGTGTTTTGTTTTTTTTTTTTGAGCTGTTGTTTTTATGGTGGATTGTAGATCGATCCCCAGGCCAGAGCCATCCCCTTTTGTCTTTGCTGTAACCTTACTTCTGTTTTTCCTTTCTGGGAGGAAGGTCCCTCCTTTGGGATGGCAGACCTGGCTCTCCTGCCCATGGAGGAGGAGGTGGCCCACATGTGGTCCTCCTGATGAGGTTTTTTCAGCTGAAGACGGTGAGCAAGAGACCAAGAACCGGTGCAAAGCTGGCCTTTCTGCTTCCGGCATCAGGTACCAGCCACACGCTGATGTCTGCCTGCCCTGGTGGAGGGGGTGCATGTCCCATGGGAATGTCCCGTCTCTCAGGACCATATTACCAGCCGATGGCCGGCAGGCCCTTCAGAAATCCTGCTGTACAACAGGGCTGTGAGTGCAGCTCCAGCAGCCCCTGGTGCTGGTGCTTAGCTGAGGACTGTCCCCTCTGGCTGGGGCTCTGCCCTTTGCAACTGGCTCTGGGGTGGGGGGGGCTGGGATCACCCTGAGACCCCCCAAGTCACATCCAGAGCATGCCAGTGGTGGGAGAGGGACACTGTAAATAGGTGTAGATGGCTTGTTTGTTCCTTTTGTAACCCAGAATAGTTCCCATTGGCACTTGCAGGGTGAAGGCTGTTCTGCCGGGCGCTGGGCTGCCTGGGCAGGAGCAGGGGGGCTGGGGGAGCCCTCACTCCCCATCCTGCTGCCACTCCACCTCCTACAGGATCTCAGCCCCTGTGCCTTCCACTGCCAGCTGGCTCCCCTCCCAGCTCCTGGCCATTGGGAGCCCATCATGGAGACATCACAGCCCTGGCCCTACGAGCCTGGCAGCATCTTGTATTTACCTGCTGTTAATAATAAAAGATCAAGTACCTTCACAGCTGTTTTGGGCTTTCTTTGGGTCTGGTTCACCCTCTGGGTGCACTGACATGCACATAGGTATTTTTGAGGTGGGTTTTGGTTGGTTTGGGGAGTGTCAGTTCGTAAGGCAAGTGGAAGTGAGGCACGGTGGCTGGAGGGGGGCCTGGGGCTCGAGGCTGCTTGGTCCTGGCACCACCGCTGGGTGGTGTGGATGTAGCCAGGAAGAATTGGCTCTGTCACAACTGCAATTACCTTCAGGTCACCGGGGCCTGTGGTGAGAACCCCCCACCCTCCTCTTCTTCCCCCTGCAGCCTCTTCTTCCCTGGGCCCTGGGTGAGCAGCTGGTGCAGGAGTTGGAGGGGGGATCCTGGGGGCACCTACCTTGGGCAATGCCAACATTGTGTTGGGCAGAGCCACGGCCCAAAAGCCAGCAGAGACTGTGCTGGCCTTCTCTTTTGCTTAAGCAAAATGGTTATTAACAAACAAAATACCAATAATTATTATTAATAATACTCTTCTTCCCTGGGCCCTGGGTGAGCAGCTGGTGCAGGAGTTGGAGGGGGGATCCTGGGGGCACCTACCTTGGGCAATGCCAACATTGTGTTGGGCAGAGCCACGGCCCAAAAGCCAGCAGAGACTGTGCTGGCCTTCTCTTTTGCTTAAGCAAAATGGTTATTAACAAACAAAATACCAATAATTATTATTAATAATAAATAAAATAATAATTTTATTGCCTTCAGTGCTAGGGACACAGAACAGAACGACACAGGACGAGAGGTGCTCCCCACCACTGGAGCCCACAGGTGCTGGCTGAGGTCTTGCTGCCACAGCAGCCCTTGCCAACGTGCCAGACTGCCGAGCTCAGCCAGGGCTGGGTCCCCTCCCTCCCTGCAGCTGAGGGGGAGCTGAGTGCCTCTGGCTGGGGCACCGCCGGGGTTTTTATTTTGGACTATTGTGTGAGCTGGCCCACAGTCAGGTGGGGCCGGGGCCAGGAAAACAGAACTGGTGCAAGGAGAGCAGCCAAACCCCTCGCCGAGCCCGGCTGCTTCCCAGCAGCGCGAGCGCCGGGGGGACGGGGGGCCTGGGCAGCTCTCACTGACTACGTGGCAAAGGGCAAAGCTGTTCCATAGTGTTGCAAGGCACATACTTTACAGGGGTGTATTACTCCTCACCCTCCTCCAAGCTGTTTGTCTTGCTACAGGGTCAACCTTTACTTCCTAACCACCACACACAAATAACAACAACAACAATAATAAAGAAAAACACCCCACATCAGTCTGCGGTTCAGACAAGGAAGGAAAGGCAGCTTGGCTGGCACACTGAGGCCCAGCATCTTCTGTGCTAACTGCAAAGGGGGGGAAAGAATAATATGACATGCTGAAGTCATTACAAAAGGCTGCTGCTCTGCTGGTGTCTCCTCCCAGCTGAGCACCCCAGTGTCCCTCGGCCCAGCTCTGGCTGGGGCTTGGTGACAAAGGTGGGACCCATGACCAGAGGTCTGCAGCAGGCTCTGCCACTGCAGCCAAAGCCATGGCAAGTGGCTCAGGGCTCGGGGGCAAACAGCACACTCCTCTGCTGCCTGGCTGGGGGCTGTCGGTCTGTCAGAGCTGGTAAGGCAGAGAATGGGAGAGGCTGGGGGTGTGGGTGTGTGGGGTGGTGTTGGTGTAGGGGTATGTGTGTGTGTTTGAGAGGAGGGGAAGGTGCTGTGCCTGTCCCACTGCACTGAAGCAGCTCTTCTGTCCCAGCAGGGCCAGTGCTGCTCTGTGGGCTGTTAGCTGTAAAAAGCACTACATATCACACAGAAAAAAACCCCCACCAAACAACAAACAAAAAACCCCCACCAAAAATAGCAAGGGGAAAAAAAAAATAAATCCCCAGCAGTAAAGTCTTTAGCTATGCATGTGCTGCACCAAATCACACCCTGGGGCCAGGCCCCAGCCTTTCTCCACACAGCCACTTGGGCTGGGGAAGACAGCAGCATGTGGGGGGCAAGAGAGCTCTGCTGGGGGGTGTGCACTGCCTGGGAGGGTGGCCCAGCCCTGTACCACCCAGGTGTCCTGCTCCTGGGGGTACAACCCTAGGAGTGGGGGGGCCACACTCTGTGGCAGTGTGGGTCACCCTGCTTGTAGTGCTTTGGCTGGAGGTGCAGGTTCCCACCGCCCCACTGGGCTGCAGTGCTGCAATCCTGGGCAGCACCCCACCTTGGGAGACAGTATAATAGGGACTAAAAAACAAACCAAAACAAAAAACATACCACAATTTCGGACAGTGCCTAAGGAGTAAGGACAGCCTGTGCCCCCCTCTGTGCCAGCCCCAGGCACCAGCTGCTGATGCTGACACCAGGACTGCAGCAGCCTGCTTCACCTGCACCCCTGGCATCAGGCACTGCACGCTGCATCAGTTCCCCCAGGCTTGTCCCCAGTAATGGGCTGGCTGAGCTGTATATTCCCTGGACAGGATTCAGCCGTTGGGAAGGGTCAGGCACAGGAATGGGCTGAGTGGGGACTGCCCTTGCTGCATTGATGTGCCAGGAGCCCCGAGGGAGCCACCAGGGAAGGGTCTCAGTCTGGAGCAGTACCTGCTGCATGCCAGGTGCTGGGGCTGTCACTGCAGGGATTTGACAATAGCCCTCAGGGCATGGGGTGTCTCTGGGACGGAGGGGGAGGCGCTGTAGAAGGTGTTGGTGTGATTTCTGCGCTGCTCTCGGAGGTAGGGAGGGACAGAGGAACTTTTGATGTGGAGGATCCTGGTGTCCATCACTTCACAGTCGATCTGCATCATCACCTCGTAGTCCTGCCCATTGATCACATTCTCTGCAAAAGTAAGAAGAAAAAACAAACAAACAAAAAGTTGGACTTAGCCCGACAAGCTCGTGACCCTGTGGCATCAAAAGCAGAGCTTTCTGGGCCTGTGTTTTTGTGGAGCAGGAGCTGGAGGGGGGGAACAGCTTCCTTTTTGCAGCTCCACACACAGAGATCCATCTCACCCAGCCCCACCCTGCTCGTGACACCCCAAAGGGGCAGGCCACACTTAGCATGTGCAGTCACACCTAGAAATTAATGTAAGTCTTTTCCACTTCTTCACCTTCCCATAATTACCAATGGAGTTTGCCTTGTATAACATTTGTTACTGAACTGGTGCTCTTGAGCCATTAAGGCATCAGGGTGATTGAAGACAGGGCTTATTTAAGAAAACGGAATGTTTCGCTTTCTTTTCATTAGTTTAAGAACACTGCAACACTGGGTACTGAGGATCTAGAGTAATCTAGAGGAACTAATCATCTTCACCAGATAAATAATAAAAATCAATTAGTTAAAAAAAAAAAAAAGCTATTTCTTGTAAGAATTAACTGCACCGTATCACTGTGCCGACCTGACTTGTACTTGCACGGCACTGTGGAGTGACACTGGACAAGGCCATTACCCTAGAGAGGGCCTCCAGACATAGGGAGACCCAGGCCAGCACCTGGGACCCCAGCAAAAGGGCTGCACCACCCCAGCACAGCCCCAGGCTGGGCACGTTGGCTGTTGCAGAAGCTCTTGGGCTTGCAGGCAGAGGCTGTGCACATGGCCAGCATCTGCTGCCTGGATTTAAAGGTGGGAGACTATTCCCTGCATAGACAGCGTGTCCAGGAATGTGGGAGCCTAGATCAGATTTCCAGGCACGACCAATCCTTGCCTTTCAGAGTCAGAAACCCCGACTGCCATCGGCAGCGTTTGCTTTCTGTGCTAAGGATTGAAGAGCACCTAATGGAAAGCGTATGGATTGGAGGAATGCAGCATACATTACTAAATTTTACTGTTTTCCTGGATTAACTCTGACTCTAGATGACAGCTGACAACTGTGGCCGGACCCTCTCGTACCCCACACCACCTGCAGAAGCCATTAGATCAAGTATGTCTGGTACAGTAATGAAAAGCAGGAGCAAACCCTTGCTAAGGGGGCCAAGGGCCTGCGAGGGAAATCAAAGATCCCACCTGCAGAAGTGAAATGGAAAAAGCTCTGCATGTGCCACTGAATGACTGAGGCCTGGAGCAGCTGTGCATGTTTGTGCCACTGATCCAAACACCCCTCCTGGCCTCAGTGCTGCTGATAAAGCCCTGCCATAGCTTCAGGTGCTGTTTCCCAGACTGGATCCTTTTGGAGGCCATCCCCCTCCAGGTCCAGAACCCTGTGACACAGCCAGCTGGAAACACAGCTCCTGGGCTCTCATGGTGCAGATGACAGCTCGATAGGACCCTGACTATGTGAGAAAATGTGCTCCAAAGCCACAGGTGGCACATCTCAGCTGGTCCTGCTTCTCCCAGTGCTGACACAGGCTCCCTCTGCAACTAAGAGGACCACAACGAAGTAAGTTAGAGCTCTGTTACCCTGTGCAAGAGGTGTTGTGTCTTCTGAGGCCACCACAGCTGAGGTAACTGGGAGGAATCATGCTCACAGCTGACCTCTCTGGCCAGCAGGCAAGGAGGGGACTCACACACCAACACAGACATTCAAAAAATGCCCGAGTCCTGGGCATATGAATCAGCACAGGATTGACACTCAGGTTTAAAGACCTGATAAAGTATCTGATGCCTTTCTCTGTTGGGCTGAAGGCACTGCTGATGAAGAACTGCTGCAGGAAGCCTCTGCAAAGGACCTTGGTCACACAGGGATGAGGACAGTAGCAGGAAGAGTTCAATTCCCACTACAGACATTTTTGTAGCAGTTTTTCTCACTACTATTAGCACCAACATGACTAGAAGAGGAGGAGGGATTTTCTGCAGAGACAGCAGCTCCTGCAGTTGGGCAGCTGGACTGGCTGCACTGCAAGGAGCAGGCTGAGAGCCCTGCCAGCCCCAGGCTGCCTGGCCACAATTGGAGAGCCCTGCCCGTGCTCCCCCAGCACAGAGGAGGGAGGTGAAGCCCACGTGATGCTCTCAGCAAAACAACAGGCAAACGTGACCTGCATGTTTGGAAAGACCAGCTCACTGTCAAAGGGGCAGGCATTGTAAAAATTATTCCACGTGTCTCCAGCCTGAGGTCAGCACCATTATACTGTTTCATGATCTGGATGAAGAATAGAGAGCATACTTATAAGATTTCTGGAAGATGATAAACTGGAGGAATTTCAACCAACTTGGAGTACTGGATTAGACTGCAGCTTCAATAAAAGAGAAAAGCTGTCCAAAGCCTTCAGGATGCACTTCAACCAAGGCCAGAGCGAAGTACAACGCTTGGGAGAACTGGAAAACACAAGCGCAAAATGGGGCTGGGCAGAAGCACAAAAGCCTGAGGACTGCAGAGTATCAATGTGCCTCAGCCAACAGCATGACAGGACCAGAAATGATCAGCTTGGTTCCAAGAGAAATAGACTTACCTTTGACCCAATTTGTAATTATAATTAAATACAAGCCCTGCAGGAACTATCTTGGGAGGCCAGAGGATCTCTGTGACTGACTCTCTTGCCTCTCAGACAAGACCTGAGGTACCTGACCCTCCCTCCCCACAGGCACAGACAGTCACTCGTGGTCCCTCCAGCCCTGCCTTTCTGTTTTTCTGCAAGCTGCAGGTGCCTGTTCATGACTGATGCCCCTCAGGGTAGACTGCACCCGATCACTGCAGAGCCCAGGTCCACAAAGAACCCAACAAATGTCAACTGAGCCGTGACAACTGTCTGTCCACTCTTTGCCCATCACAAAGACAAGACAGTGAGATCTGAGCTGTTTGCCATAGCGCAGGGGTGCACACCAGTCAGCTCCCACTGCTCAGATGGCACTGCTGTGCCATGTGTCCTTAATGGTCAGTTTAAATCCAGTGGCTAAGTAGCTGGACATGTCCAGTGGGCAATATCTGGAGTTGTGGGTTCTTCAGGAGAGCCTGTGCTTTGACCTCACCACAGAAAAGGCCAACAATTTTGCCTGGTGATTCCCACATCACATCTTTCAAAACTAACCCAGCCAGGCTTGCTTTCTTTCCCCTTCCATGGGGCTCTCCAGCAGCACAACTGTCTGGGACACAACAGTGGGAGACACCAGTGCTCTCTCTCAACACTTAGACCAGCACGTACTGCAGCCATCACAGCTCACAGCCCTCTGTGGGGAGGGGGACATGGGCAGGGGGGGCTGCAGGACGTTGCTGCCTGCTGCCACTGCTTGTTTGTTGGCTGGAAGGTCAGTGCTGCGAACTGGTGTTACATGGGGCTGCTTAATAGCCCAGAGCAACACCTACCCTGAATTATTTCTAAAGTTTATTGTGCTGATTACCTATGACTGATGTTTTGTGGGATTACATAAGTGAAAACCCAGGAACAGATCTCCTGTAGAAGTGTCTGGATTTATAAATAAATTTATTGCTCCTCTTTGAAGTACGTAACTCACACAGCCTCAGGGTTAAGAAGCTGTCCTTCCCAGGCCAAAAAGGCTGTGTTGCACTTAATTATTTGTTAACAGGTTTAAAAGCCATACTTCAGATGATACACTATTTAGAATTAAGAGCAAAGGTAACTGTGCCAAGCACTGCTGTTCCCCGCACCTTCTCAAAGAGACTCGCTGGTTCTCATGGACTGCACCAAACTCCTGGCACGAGCTTGGTCTAAGGAACAGAAATCTAATTCCTCAGCACTGCTCTCCAGGGCTTATGGCAGCTCCTCTTAAAAACAAACAAGACCCAGCTGATGAAAGCTGACGTCACCAGTCCAAACCAAAAACGTTTAGCAAATAATGCTGAGGATAATAACCACGGCTACAAATTACCCAAGATGATGGAAGATTGTCTTCACATTTGAAGTGCTAGATTTTCAAAACAGACTTACTAGAAAGACCATAAAACAAAGCCCTCCTTCTCCCTTCAGCAGTCCTGACAGCTATCAATCTTTTGAATGCTCAAATGTCCATCTTTGAGATCAAGCATCTACTCCCACAAATGCTGTCTTAGGGGGAAGGCAGACAGAGAGGGCTTGAGAGGCAGGCATTGAAAAGCTTAGTGTCTGTTCTGCAATAATCCAAGACAAATTATATGAATTGTCTCTCTAGATTCAAACTCTACACATCAGTGGGCTGTTTGGTCCTATGAATGCAGTCATAGGCCAGGAACAAGTTATCCTGGTAATTTACCCTTTCCCACTTCCATGCACCCCTCAGCACAAAGCTCTGCTGCAGGAAAATGCTTGGCTTGGAAACTGCAATTTGCAGAGAGGCTGCAACAGAGCTCCCCTGAAATGCCACCTGACCTTGTGAGGTGTTTTAAGGCTGACACCAACCGCCATGGGAGAGCTTTGCAGCTTCTGAATCATGCTCATGCCCTAGGTACACTGACAGAGCTTTGTTCTACAAAACCAGCTATGAATTTTGCCTTTCCCCTGACAGTCCCAAAACTGTGAGACCCAACTGTATAATTCAGGGCCTGGGCCACTTATTTGACACCCTCCAATCCAAAGACTTTTCTCTTAGGCTCCAACTGCCTTTGCAGTAGATAACCTACCTGCAGGTTTCTTCATAGGTGACTTGCAAAAGTTGTCAGAACCTGCCTGCTCTACTCCCACAATGTGTTCACTGAATATACAGCTAAACCAGTGCTGCCCACATAGATCTGGACTCCACGTTCTCGTCTCTACTGGTAAGATACAGGGAAGGAAATAATTTACCTAATCTTTACTTTAACTACCTGTCTTTGTCAGTTAGGCTAGAGAATCATGCCGTCCTCATGGACAACAGCAGAGAGTGTATTTGCTGTTCACTGAACTAGTTTAGTTGATGTCAAAGCAGCTGTCAAGGAATTGTCTCTGCATAAGATGATTGAAAACCATCAACTCTCTTTGCTACTCCTGCCTTTT